ATGGCGTTCTTCTCAGGACGATCGGGAAAGTCGGACTCTGCATCGCCGATCGGCGAGGCTCAGGGCTCGGATCTCGCAGCCAGTCCTCGCTGCGCGCCAGCCGCCGCGCGCGCTCGTCGCCCGGCGGCGGCGGCGGCTCGTCCGCCGCGGCCGCCTCCGAGGCGGCGCCTCCCAGGCTGGCCAGCGAGCGCTGCCGGCGCGCGTCCGCGCGGGCGGTGAGGGCCTCGATCGCCAAGGCCGACGACGACGCCGACGATGATGGCGGCGACGGCGACGGCGACGACGGCGACGGCGACGGCGACAGCCACGGCGAGGTCCACGGCGGCGGCGGCGGCGGTGGCGACCACGTCCGCGCGGGCGGTGAGGAGCCTGCTCCTCGGCCGGGGTCATGCTCAGCTCGTCCGTGAGACTGCGCGCCACCTCGAGGTCCTCCAGAGGCAGAACAAGACAGGATGCGCTCGTGCTGCTGACATCCGGAACGCGACACGACGGTGAAGGCCTGCTCCTCCCGGGTCCTGCTCAGCTCGGCCGTGAGCCTGCGCGCCACCTCGAGGTCCGCCAGGGGCAGAGCAAGACGGGATACGCTCGTGCTGCCGGAATCCAAGGAACGCGACGCAACGGTGAGGACCTGCTCCTCGGCCCGGGTCCTGCTCAGCTCGGCCGCGAGCCTGCGCGCCACCTCGAGGCCCTCCAGAGGCAGAGCAGCACAGCAGGCGCTGGGGCTGCTGAGAGCGGGAGCGCGCGGACACGGGGCACGAGGCACCTCTTGGGCGCCCCCCCTCCAGCAAAAAAAAACGCCTGGGTGCACGAGGAGGGCTGGAGGAGCAGCCACGGCGTGGCCGAAGGGGCAGCGATGCCCTTCTGACTCCACAGCGGCCAGCGCCCTGGCTGCAGGCGCCGACTTCCAGAAGTGCGCGCGGCTGTCGTGGATCGGCGCGGAGCCCCCCCCCGGAGGCGCCGCCCCTGGCGCGCTCCGCCCAACGCTCAGAACCGACGGTTCTGACGTGTCCGTGGCCTCGCGGCACAGAACCGAAGGGGCCCAAGGACACACAGATAAATACCCCCCAATCATAGGATTCCCCACACTTTTTTCCCATACCTTCGGGGCCCCTGCCTTCCCCCCCGCACCTCCCATATGTCCCTAGCTTCCCCCGGGGATCGACGACTCCTTGCGTCTGTGTGTGCTTCTCCCCTCCCCCCTGACCTTCCAGAGAGCTATATGTTTCAGCACGGGAGGCCTGCACACCTAAAAAGCGAAACGAAACAGCCTAAAACCAAGACGTAGAATAGCTTTTGGAGAGGTTTTCGGGTCGGGTGCTAATTTTTAGCCCTCCTGGGAGCTCAGGGCCCCGGCCTCGAGAGCCGACGGCCCCCACCTGCAGCAGCCGAGGGCTCGAGGGCCTCCGAGGCCACGGGGGCGCCGAGAGCGGACGGCCCTCGAGCGTGCCGCGCCGCGGGGCGCTCGGCGCCGCCGGCCCTCCGCGTTCGAACCCTGGGCGTTCGGCGATGAATGGGGGGGCGATGAATGGGGAGGAGGAGGAGGAGGAGGAGGAGGAGGAGGAGGAGGAGGAGGAGGAGGAGGAGGAGGAGGAGGAGGAGGAGGAGGAGGGCGCGGACCGCACGCCACCAGCAAGAGGCAAGCCTCGAGCTGGTGGTCCGGTTCGATCAGCGCCCAGCGCACGCCAAAGCGTGGGCCGAGCGGGCGGGCCGCCCCGCCTGCCTGGCCACGTCGTGCACCTGCATCCCCGACACCGTGGGCGCCAGGTAGAGGCACACGTATGCGGCGGGGGAGGGGACGACGGGCGACAGACTACAAGGGCGGCCCAGGAAAAACAAAACGAGTTTAATCAGACGACCCAGAACTCGCTCCATCGGGAACGGGTTCGGGAGCACTGGCCGCTTCCAGCGGCCTTGCACTATCAGCACTGTGGGGCTCCTCCGCACGGTCAACTCCGCACTCGGCAGCCCCGAGAATCTTCACGCCCGTTCTAGGGTGACACCCGCGCTCCAGACGTCTGATCGACATTCTCTGGTTAGCGGCCGTGCTCGGGACTTTGGACCTCCCTTTACAACGCTGCGCGAGGTTTCGCAGCGAGCCAAGAGATCCGTGAGCCCCGCACAATTTACAACAGTACACATGCAGATGACGGAACACGTCGTGCCCAAGGTCCCGAAATACAGAGAACTCATCTGACGGCTCAGGAGTGGCCACAGGAGTCGGGGGACCTTGGAATTCATCATTGCACACACGCTGAGCCTCGTCAGCGGCGGCCAGAGCAACCCTCACCGCTTCAAGCTGCACGGGCCTAAAAGCCGCCCCAAACTCACGAAACCACTGGTCGCACACGTGTCGCTGGATCGATGACGGAGAGCAAACACTGTAGTCCCTGCTTGTGAGCAGGCTCTTGAGCGACTCTGGAGTGCGAGCTACGCGGCCACAGCTCCTGCACTTGTAAGTGCTGGTGGCCTCGCAGCGAAACAAAACATGGCTGGTGACCGTGACCTTGGGAGGGGCGGGGGCTCTCAGGAGGCGGAGAGGACGCTCGGGGTCGAGGTGAGTCCACGTGCCTGACTCGAGCAAACGCTGAGCAGCCCACGCGATAAACCGCACCGTGGACCTATGATATTTTAACTGTCCTGAAACCGCTGCACAGAAACCTTCAGCAAGCGTGTGAGAGCTGGCCCCTAGTTTGGCGAAAAAATCAGCCCACAGGTTCCCAGCCCAACTTTTGATGCACAGCCCACGCTCCAAAACGTCGTCAAAACTCAGATGGGCAGGGAACCACGAGAACTGGGGGTGATTAGACTTCAAGTCAAAAATGGACCTCCAGATCGACGCATGCTTGGACATGCCTTGAGACAGATGCAGGCTCCACGAGTTGCCTTCGCGTACTACAGCCTGGAGGTCCGACACAATACACTGATGCTGGGGGTGATAAGCTAGACCCTGCCGCACTGCCCACCTTTCAGCACGACCTATGGTCTGACGCTCCCCTGGAAGCGCACCATATACTGCCCTCAACGGAAGCAGACAATCGAACAACTGCACAACGCTCCAACCAGCTCTGGAGACCTCTGGGACCCCAGAGTGAAAACAACTGCCGTCAGTGAAAGACAGAGGGCCCCAAGGCCCTGAGACGTCCCCGAACTCGAAAATGGGGGGGTTGGCAAGCGGAGCGGGAATATTAGTGGGCAGAGGTGGGATACCATAAGTTAAATAATTAGAGTGCACATCGGGCTCCCCAGTGATAGAGGCCCGAGACTCAATCAGAACACGCCTATGCTTAGCTAAGGCCTCAGGAACCTCGTCACCCAGCGCGTCAATCCCGTCGTCAGTGATGAACTTAGAACAGGCATACCACACGTGTCCGTACGTACCTTGAGGAGCGGAGCAGGCAAGGCACGCAGGTGGTACGTCGTATTGTAGAGCAGAAAGTGCAGCAGGTAGCGGAATAACATTCCCCCAGACGGCCGCCAAGGCCCCAAGAGCCCGCTGGTCTTTTACAGCACGTATACCATTACGTAACGCACGAAACCAAGGCTCTCCTTCTGGAGGGTCAGTATTATAAAGATGCAGCTGCAACCGACGAATCTGCCACCGCTGCACACCTTCAATAATCGCAATACGCACGTCACTTGGACACACCACCAGCAGCGAAATATCTGTACCAAGATCGCTGCGAAAGGTGTGGGCATTGGTCATCGTCCAGCCAATGCGAAGCAGGCTTAGCCACACCGCCGACAGCGGACCTCGAGCCTGCTGCCACGTAGGGTTGTCGGACATGATGTCTCTCAGGCGGGTCCAAGCACGTTGCACTCTCGATAACTGCAACCTTCCGTCCCAGACGAACGTGGCGAACTTCACACACACACACCAGTAGTGGAGTCGTAGATCGGGTCGTATTGCGGATCAGCCTGCGTCAGCAGATACGAGGTAATACCACCGTGCTGCTTGGCCCCTGCGATCGTAGCCGCAAGCTGCCTCAAATACTTCAGCGCAGTGTCTGAGATTCCCGACACTGATCCCCCGTGTCCAGCTGCTGGGAGAGCTCCAGTCCTCCACAGTCGGGTTGCACGCTTGCCAGTAGCATGTTTCAACGCAACGAACTTGTCACGACGACGTTTGAGAGCCTGCAACCTTTTCTTCTCCTGCGTGCGAACAACCCGACCAGCAGCCAATTCATGCCCGAGGTTTCTCATCCACTTGCGAACTGGTAGGCGCAGCCGAGCAGCCATCCTCGAGAACACCTTCCGAGCCACTGTGTTCCCTGCAATGAGCCCCGACTTCTTGACATTGGAGTGGAGCCCCAGGACCTTGGCATCTTCAGTGAACACTTTCACCGCACGTTCCAGGAAGCGGACGTCCCGAGGATCCGAAGTGACGAGCTGAATCGATATGTCGTCGACTAGGGCTCTCGGTGTGATACAGGGCGAAATGTCATTGAGCCTACGCACAGCACGCAGCGTGAGAAGGAAAAGCATGCCTGTCGCATGATTGCACCCTGCAAGGATGCCTTGATGCGAGCAGAACTGCACAGATAGACTGCCGAAAGCTCGAAGACGCCGTGGCTGCCTGTACAGATCCACCAGCATCCAAACTAGCCGCATTGGAAAGTGCAAAGCTTCAGCTTCTCTCAGCAGCTGCTCCGAATGCACCATCTCGAAACATTTGATCATATCTACGAGGACAGAAATGGAGATATCACCGACCAGCGCCGCCGTCTCGGCAGCGATGTTATGAGCAAAAGCACTGTCTGAGGAGCTGAAACCACGACGAGTCCCCCAAACAGCGTGGCAATCATTACGCTCTTGCCAGTCGAAGGTGATGGGCTTGCGAACTTTGCCCCAGACACGGCACAGCAAAGAGACGAGCGCGATCAGTCGAGTCCCACCATCTGGTTTGGCGAGACGACACATCTCATTGCAAACTCGCTCCCTGGGCCAAGCCAGGTGCAACTCGCAGAGGTTAAAAAGTTCTGCAATCGCCGAGAAAGCCTGTCTAGGCAGGTGTATTAAGGCTCTTGGGTGAATCCCCATCATGCCTCCAGCAGTGCGAGTGGGGCAAGTGTGAACGGCATCCTCCACCTGAGCGGCCGTGATACGCGGCAGACTGGGCCAGCTGCTGGACCCCCGCGGAACCTCGAGAACCGAACAACCGTGGGACAACCAAACCTCCCTCCAGGGATCGAGTTCCGCGTCGGCCTGCTGGTGGGGAGCCTCACGCGCCTGGTTGCTTAAAACCTCTTGGATGGCCTTTACCTTTGAGAACCTGTGAGCCTTCGAGGCGCCAGCAGAGAAAGCATCCCTGGCCCACTGCCTCCAGGCCTGGGACGCTGCATTCTCCGCGCGGGCGATGGCAGACTTCGCCCGAATGTAGATCTTCGTAAGCATACTGGCAACGTCGGGACGTGCAAGGACGGCGAAGCCGCCATTGAAGAAATCACGCACGTCAGAGTCAAGGCAACCAAGCACTTTTTTACAGCGGGCAACGTTGGCCATGAACCGACTGAACTCCTCAAAAGCCGAAAGAAGCTTGCGACATTGGCGAGGCGCAGCAGCACAAGGAGCTTCGTAAACTTGCAACAGCCTGATTTGCTCACTAAGATGTTCTCTGGCCTTGCCAAGATGTTTGGCCCACCCAAGAGCGACAGCCCAGGCACGTGCCTGTGGATCCTTATAAGTCCTCCTTCTGGGGGGAGTCCAGGAGCCGCCAGGATCTCCACTCTCTTTTTTTTTGCTGCCTCCTCTGAGAGCTGTCGTGTCGGTGCGGCGCTGGTCTTCTAGGGGAACAAAAAGTGGCATACACATAAAAACTCGGGGGTCCGCGCGGATTTCTCGGATCGGCGCTGGACCCCCCTCCCTGGCGCGCGGCAGCGCGCCAGGGGCGGCGCCGGGGGGGCCCCAGCGCGGATCCGAGAACTCCGCGCGGACCCCCGAGTTTTCATGTTTATGCCATTGTTCGTTCCCCTAGTCAGAGGTTCCAGGTTGCTCCGACGGCGAGCTCTTCGAGGATGCGCGGCGCGTGTTGCGCGGGCTTATGTCACCTGTTTGTTCCCCTGCCTTCGGTCCTCGGCGAGCCTGCGCCCGACGTCCTGCCCGGCGCCCGTGGCCGCGCCCTCCGCGGCCTGCAGCTGCTGCCGGAGGCCGCCGAGCTCGGCCTGCAGCGCTCGGAGCAGGTCGCCCTCCACCTCGGGGGGGGGGGGGGGGGCGTCGGGGGCGCACGCAGGCAGTTTTTGATTCGCGCAATGTTTTTATTCTTACTGTGAGTCGATGAGCCTTTGAATCGATCTTCCCGTGGCATCTGCATTTTGACATTTTACTGGGCCCATCTTTAGGTGAATTCAACTTGACTTAGTAGAGGGTCGAGAGCGCACCTCTTCTGGTCGAAGCGAAGCGGGCCGCGCGAAGCTTGAATAAACCAGGGAAGGGGGGAGGAACAAGGGGGGGGCGCAGCCTCCGAACGAGGCCGGTATGAGGCTTCGGGGGCGCACGCAGGCAGGTGGGCACGGAGCCCAGGATGCCCCATCTCTCCCCTGACTTCCTGGGCCCTCGTCTTCCCCCCCCCACTCCCCGCAGTTTCCCGGATGTTCCTGGGGGCGACGACCGACCGCGTCTGCGTGTTTTTTGTCCCCCTCCCGAACCTCCTCGTTGCGCACGGGCCTCGTCCTGATTCGCTTCACGGACTCGGCGAAGCGGATCGTGGACTCGGTCATCGAGAAGCACTGCGCGGACGGGGAGATGCAGGCGAGCATGGCAGTCTTGCAGTTGCCCATGAGGGACTCCGAGAGGAGGAACGTCAGCTTGCTGTCCCTGTAGGGGACGTAAGACTTCGCCGCGCCGCCGAACTTCGATCCCTTCTCGCGGTCGGCCAGCCGGGAGATCATGGTGCTGAGAGCGAGCAAGCTCTTGTTGATTTGCTTGCTCTCGTGCTGGCGAACCTCCGAGTCGCCCGTCTGCCACAGCCTCTCCGAGCCCGCCAGGTCCACTGCGTGCAGCTGCGCCCGTCGGCGCCTCGAGCAGAAGGGGTCGCCTCCACTGCCCGATCCGAGGACCGCGCGCTCCACGTGGAAGGTGACGATGGCATGGGAGCGGGAGGACACAGCGTTCATGTTCGTCCGGCCAACCGCGCGCACCCTGTGGCCAAAGTCGAGGAGCCTGGCGACCTCCCCCGCGCTGTGCACCCGATTTTTCGTCAGGCCCTGGACGAACACGCCCACGCGCGGGTGCTCCCGGACCTCCAGGGAGGGCGGAGAGCCGTGCGCTGCGGGGCTCAGCAGGTCTCTCGCCTTCTCGTTGTAGAGCTCCAGATAGGACAGCCTCACGGCGCTGTCCCCGCCGCCGGGCTCCAGCCCTGCGAACAGATCCTCGGCGATGCGCGGCACCAGCCCGCGCTCTTCTGCGGGCCCGCCGAAGATCGTGTGGGTCTTGCCGCTCCCCGTCTGCCCGTAGGCGAACACGCAGCCGTGGTAGCCGTCCATGATGCCCTGCACGATCTGGTCGCCCAGCAGGCTGTACACCTGCCGCTGCGGCGCGCCAGCCGCCAGCACGGCGTCGAAGCTCCTGGGCGGCGCCGCCGGGGCCGGCGGCTCGCAGGCGGGCGGCAGGAGCTGCAGCGTCTCCGTGCACTGCGCGCTGCAGGAGACCGTCTCCTGCCAGGCCGTGGCGCGCTCCTCCTGCGTCAGCGGCCGCACGCGCACACACACCTTGATGCTATCGCCAGCCGAGTCCGAGTTCTCCCAGTACCTCTCACAGGCCCCCCTGTAGCTTTCGACGGGCTGCTCTGCACCAGGCGGCGCTGGGTCTACGGGCGCCAGCGCGGCGAAAGAGTCGGCATCGAGTCCTGGAGCTGGCTCGGGCTCGGCGCTGGCATCGCTCGGGGCCGTGGGCTCGCTGGCCGACGCGGCCAAGAGGGCCACGATGTCTCGCTGGGTCAGCCGGTCCAGGAGCTCTGGGGCCACAAGCCCGCGCAGCACGCGCCGTGCCTCCTCGAAGAGCTCGCCGTCGGAGCAATCTGGAACCTCTGAAGGCGCCTGCCTCGCCGCGGGCCCAACCGCGCCTTGGGAGCGGCCAAGAGGGGGGTGTCCAAGAGGGGGGGGTGCAACTCATGAGCGGCGGCATGTGCGCGGCCCCGCGGGGGGGCCAGGGACGCAATGAAACAAGAAGAGGCGCCATGACATCTGGGGAGATATCACGGCCCCCGCCATGATATCCCCCCCCCCTAGTCATCACCCCCCTCTTTTCCGCCCCCGAGCGCCTGCTTCCGCCGCAGCGGGGCCCCCCGGGACGTCCTCGGCGGAGCTGCCTGCGGCGGACGTCGACGCGCACGAGTCCCCGAAGTAGGCCGCGTCGCACCCGCTCTCGGGCGGGCGGCGAAGGGGGGGTGGCCTGCATAGGTGAGAGAGACAGGGCCCCTACAGGACCCTTGAAGGGACCCTGGGACACACGAATAAGTACACACAAACAAGCAGGTTCCCCATATTTTTCCCATATGTTCTGGGCTTCTGTCTTGCACTTCCCATACTTTCTAATATTTTCTCGGGAATCGACGATTCACTGTGTCTGTGTGTTTTTCCCTCCTGAACCCTGGTCTTCACCCAGAGGCGACGACAGGGGCGAACAGCCCAGGGGCGAGCAATCCATGTGTCCAGGTGCGCCGATGACCTGTGCCTTCGAAGAGGCTCCCGGGCGAATGCGTCGCCCCTGGGCTATTCGCCCCTACCGTGGCCGCCGATTCACTCCCCATTTAGGCCACCCCCCATTCCCTGACCTTCCAGGAGGGCAAAAAAGTAGCACCCGACTTGAACACCTATCCCAAAGCTATTCTACGTCTTGGTTTCAGGCTATTTCGTTTCGCTTTTGAAGTTTTTAGGCCTCCCGTGCTAAAAATAGCTCTCTGGAAGGTCAGGGTTACCACCCGCCCGGCGCTCGGCTGACCCGACTCCTCTGGCGCCCAAGTCCTGCACGGGCGGGCCTCCACGGCCACGGCCACGGCGCCGCGCAGCGGCACCGCGGCGCACCAGCTGACGGGCGCGGCGGGGCGCACGCGCCACGCCTGCAGCGGCGAGACCCCGGCCGTTGGGCGCCAGGACGCTGGCACTGCTGCCAGGATGGGAGAAGCGGGTCCTGGTGGAAACGGGTCAGCTGGACCCTGAGGCCCTGCCCCAGAGAAACAATCCTTCATCCAGTTATGGGCCCATTTTCCACCACCACCACCACCACACGTAGGAGAGGGAGGGGGAGGAGGAGGAGGAGGAGGAGGAGGAGGAGGAGGAGGAGGAGGAGGAGGAGGAGGAGGCGGACCCCTCCCCCTCCGACTTATGGTGGTGGTGGTGGAAAACAAGCCCATCATCCTGAGTCGTTTTCTGACAGTCCCGGGGCCCGTGCAGGGCCCCGGGAAATCAAAAACGGCGGCAGACCTCATGACCCGTGAACCCTCGGGACCCGTGTCCCCCATAGCGATGTTGGCTTGCTCGGCCAGCTCGCGTGCTCACTGGCGGCCGCCGGTGCTGGCTGGGGGGTCTGCACCTGTGGGCGTCTGCGCTCCAAGTGGGCTTGGCTCTCTGTGCGGGCCAGCTGCCGCACAGGAGGCTGTGGCGCTGACTGGGGGGTCTGCACCTCTGGACGCCTGCGCTCCATGTGGGCCTGGCTCTCTGTCCGGGCCATCTGCCGCACGGGAGGCTGCCCGAGGGAGACCTGCCGCACCGGAACCTGGATGGCGCGCACTGCGGCGGCGCGCCTCACCGGCGAGTGCAGCCTGGCGGGGCTGGCTGCTGCATGCGGCGCTGCCTGTGCCGCAGGGGGCACCTCGAGGGGCGCGGGATGCTGCCCAGGCCAACAAACCACCGCAGCCAAGCCGCCACCCAAGGCGACGCCGTTGGGCGCCGGGTGCGGGGCCCCCTGCGGAGAGGAGCTCATGCGGGCGGGCCCTGGGTGGCTCGGCGCCGCAGGCCTCCGCAGAGGCGACGAGGCCTGGCGCAGGACGTGGCCGTCGGGCCGCGCACGCATTGGCGACACGGAGAGCCTCCCGCGGGAGGCCGACGTGGCCAGTCGTGGGGCGGCCCAGCGGGCCTCCATGGCAAGAGCAGCGCGTCCCGCGTGCACCCTGCACCCCCCCCCAAACGGCTGAGGAGCCCTTGATCCCATCCAGCCCTTTCGGGCGTGAGTGGTTTGCATAGAGTGTCTCATCTTCCACCTTCCTCCTTCTCCTTCGGCGGTGGGATGATGCGATGCGAATCGTATTCCAGCCCTTCGGGGAAGGGCTTATCACTGCTCCATAAAAAAACACACCCTCCCCGACCCGACTGAAGGGCAAACCCAGTGCAGGCCCCGCCCCCCACCATCCACGTCAGAAAACAATGCAGAATGCACTCTGCCTCAAAAAATCTCGAGCATGCGTGGGCGCTCCGCGACCACTCTGCATTGGTGTTTGACCGGGACGGTGGGGGTGCTGTGGCATGCTGTCTGTTGCGTCCAAGTTGAGCGCAAGCCGACCGCCCCTGTCAAAAAATAATACAGGATGCACTTTGTCTCCCAATGCTCAGCATGCGCGGGCGCCCCGCGACCACTCTGCGGGCGCCCAAGCGACCACTCTGCAAATTAGTTGTTGACAGGGATGGCGTGGGTGCCCGCATGTGGATTGATGCGCGCAGGCCAACCGTCCGCGTCCACCAAAAACAGTACAGAATGCACATTGCCTCCAACTCCAACTACGACCCAGTCAGCTGGAGTTGGAGTTGGAGTTTTGGAGCTGGAGCTGGAGCTGGAGTTGGAGCTGGAGTTGAGAAATACCAGTTCGGTCGAGGCCCGAAAACATCGACTCCTTGGGGTCGGGGCCCCAGGCACGTGGGGTCTGCATTCGCTCACCGTCGCTCTCCACCCCGTGGCGGCTGTGCAGTGGCGCACCTCGCACGCACTGCGCGCGCCGAGCACAAAGGCGCACCTGGCGCGGCTGGAGCCTCGTGGCGTCCTTGGCGCTCGCGGGGGGGCACGTGCCGCACACCTGCCGCGCCTCGCACGCTCGGGCCTCTCCAGGGGCGCCCTGCTGCACCTCAATGCGTGGCGCTCCTCGGCGGTGTGCCGACACTCGGGCACCACCAATGCGTTGGGAGGGCGGGTGGGAGCGAGCGGGACGGCCTGCGTTTTTTTTCGTTGGGGAGGGGGGTCGAGCCCCCCCCCCCCCCCCCCAGACCGCGAGACGGCTCGCGGTCTTGGGGGGGGGGGGGGGGCTCGACCCCTCTCCGATGCTCTCCCTGGTGGGTCTGGACGGGGGAGGAACCAACAAGTTCTTGTCTCGTCTCGGCGAGGACGGTGGTCTGGACGGTGGTCTCCGATGCTCAGAAGTTCTTGTCTCGTCTCGGCGAGGAACCAACAACCATGGAGGTCACTGAGGTTTTCGGCCACATTTGGGCCTCCCATGGGGGGGGGTAATTGGAACCTCTCCCGTTTTCGATCGATCTCCTCCAAGATTGCCCCAAGATGGCCCACGGGGCTCCCAAGGGTGCCCCAAGAGGGCCCCAAGTTGCGCCCAGGCGACCCCCAGGGGCCGCCAAGATAGATGCCTCCAACAGGCTCCCAAGAGACCCCCGAGAGGCCCCAACATGCTCCCCAGAGGCACCCAAAACGCCCCAAGAGGCCTCGGCGAGGAACCCAAACAAATTGATGTCACAGCAGTTGCTGGCCGCATGTTGGCTTCCTGGGGTGCCCCTGATTGAGGAGTCCCCCTCCTTTGATCCATCTCCTCCAAGATGGCCCCATAATGGCCCACGAGGCTCCCAAGACGCCCCAAGAGGTGCCCAAGAGGCCCCAAGAGGCCCACGCCCCCCAAATTCCCCCCAAGTTGCCCCCAAGAGGCCCAAGAGGCCCCCCAGAGGCACCCAAGACGCCCCAAGAGGCCTCGGCGACAAGGCCAACACCATTGATGTTACAATGGTGTGCCGGTGTGCCGGTTTAGCCTCCAAGGGGGGGGCCCTAACTGAGGAGCCCCCCTCCTTTGATCGATCTCCTCCACGATGGCCCCAATATGGCCCCCGAGGTTCCCCAGGGTGCCCCAAGAGGACCCCAAGAGGTGCCCCAAGAGGCCCCACGAGGCCCCCAAGAGGCCCCCAAGATGCCCCCACGAGGCTCCCAGGACCCCAAGAGGCCCCAAGAGGCCCCCCCTCAAGAGGGCCCAGGGACTGCCAAGAGACCCTCAGGACGCCCCAAGAGGACCCCAAATAAGCTGCTCTCGAAAGCAATCCGAAGAGGCTACGAGAGGCATCCAAGAGGAATCTGATCTTTCTGGTCGTCCTCATCCTCCTCCTCTTCTTCCTCATCCGCCTGTTCCTCTTCCTTCCTCCTTTCTTTCCCTCCCCCTATCCCTCCTCCTCCCCCTCCTCCTCCTCCTCCTCCTGCTCCTCCTCCTCCTGATCCTCCTCCGATTCCTCCTTATCCTCACCCTCTTGCGGTACCACGTCTTTTACCCAACCCTCTATTCCACTGCATGCTTCTCCCCATCCCGGGTCACGGCAACTCATCTGGGTATCGTTTCTCGAAGGGATGGTGGGGTTGCGCGAAGCGTTTAGAATAGTACATACGAATCATTATCGAGACGATGCTCTCATGTTCTTGCTTACCCCAACCTGACGGGACGAACATGGTACATGCCAAACGCTTGCACACACGGGATAGCGCGTGCATCCGAACATGATTCCAATGGAAACCATAAATAAACACCTAGAGATCCATGTAAGCTGCCCGTTCAGAACGGAGCTGCACAACGTAAGGCAAGACAATGAAACAATGCAAAGACAGGGAGGAAGACACATGGCAGAAGTAGCTGCTCCACGTCACGCCTACATGCCGTACTTCTAGCCCCCACCTGCAAATATGTTGGCAGCATGTCTTCTGTGACTCGGGCATGGCCCAGAAGTCGGTTGGGTAAACTGGGCGAGGCCGTTTTATTGCCCCCACATCAGAGTGCGGGTGACATCTCCGAACTCGTGTGCCCAAGGCTGTTTTCAAGGCATAGTCGCTGCCACTGGTCTCCCTTGCCGAAGACAACAAGGGTAACAGGCGGAACCGCCGAATACGATTGGAACCTCCTGTTCTCTAGAATGTGGGGAACTCGACCCCTGCTTTGGAGGGGCAACCCCAATCCCCACCCCCACCCCTGCAGAACTGGCCGCCAGATGGAGGGTGTGACTGGATATTGGCGCGCGCTGTGATTTAATGCAATCAACCCGCACAATAAGAATGCGCGGTAAGGATACACGGGCCCTGCAAGGGCATCTCGAAGCTTTGCGAGCGGGGCGCGGCCAGCGAAAGCGGCCCAAGGATGGGCCGAGGAGGCCAGGATGCGAGGGCACCCTCGGGAACGGCGCACATCCTTCCTGTGCGGGTCGACGGTACGGCTTGGCAGCGAGGGCAGAGACAAGACGAAGCCAGGACGAGGACAAGCTCGGGCAAGGATCCATCGGGCACCTCTGAGAGCCGGCGGCTCTGGAGGACGCGAGGCCTCGGGCGCTGCGCCCTCCTCGGAGGAGCTCCGGAACGCTCTGGGAACGCCCTGCTCTTGTGCTGCATCCTCGGGGGGGGGGCTTGTCTGCCTCGTCGCGGCCGTAAATCCGTGCCGAATCCGTGTCGGATCCGCGCCGAGTCCGCGCCAGATCCGCGTCGAGGCCGCGTCGAGCCCGCGTCGGGCACAAGAAAAGACACCAACTTTGGGGACAGGCGAAGTCCCCCGCAGATGCAACGTAACTGCTCGTCCCAGCCCCGCCCGAACAGAACCAATCATCCTCCGACGCTGTGAGGTCAGCAGACCCACGGGAGGGGACCGACCGTCCCGGCATTCTGATAGGCCTACCCCGCGATGTTCTTGGAGCCCAAGAATGTTCTCATTACCAAAACAATGCTCTCAGAACAGAAAGCCGATGCGTGAAAGCAAGACCGCACCCGCCAGAAACGTTCTGAGAACACTTCGTGGAAACTTCTTTGATCTGCGGGGCGAGAGCGAACCCCTTCCGCTGAAAGCTAAGCGGGACGCGCACAGCTTTCATTAGCAGAGAAAGGGCGGAAGAAGGCGGGGCCTCACGCGGCAGGGAGGGGGCGCAGCCCTGGGATCAGGCGGTGCCGAAGATGCTGTGCAGGAAGAGGTACACCTTGGACAGGAGCCCGGTGGCGAAGTCCCGGGAGGAAGAAACACTTTGTGGAAACACACGGAGGAGGAGGAGGAGGAGGAGGAGGAGGAGGAGGAGGAGGAGGAGGAGGGAGGAGGAGGAGGAGGAGGAGGAGGAGGAGGAGGAGGAGGAGGAGGAGGGGAGGGAGGAGGAGGAGGAGGAGGAGGAGGAGGAGGAGGAGGAGGAGGAGAGGGAGGAGGCAGGAGGACTTAGGACGAGGAGGAGGAGGGGAGGAGGAGGAGGAGGAGAGGAGGAGGAGGGAGGAGGGAGGAGAGGAGAGGGGAGGGGAGAGAGGAGGGAGGAGGAGGAGGGGGAGAGGAGGAGGAGGGGGAGAGGAGGAGGAGGGGGGAGGGGAGGGGGGAGGGAGAGAGAGGAGCAGGATTGCACGCCACTAAGGGGGAAGAGAGAGAGAGAGAGAGAGAGTCCGACGGGTCCAAAAAACCCTAAGGGGGCCCATCGAAGAGGACTTTTTGTCACCACGGTGCGGCTCGGCATAGCGCACCGTGGGCCAGCGACAGGGCCCCCTCAGGAAAATTCTTCGTCGAGCTCGACAGCAGCAGCCTGTTGGACACGGAACTCTCGCCCGAGCTCACGGGCCTCCACCTCATTCAGCCCAAAAGCCTGGAGACAGTCTGCCATGCAGAGAGTGGCGGTGCCCGAAAACTGCTGGGCTCTCGAAGTCCAAAGCGTCGGCTGGGACCCAAAACCTCCGACCTGGAACCGAGAACCGAAAAGCTCGCGAGCCAGAGCCCCAGGAGATCTCGGGGGTCCCAGCCGTCGCGCCCGATTCGGGTGCTTGAGCTTCAAAAAACTCGACGTGTTCTTCTTACCAGGGCCGATCAAAGAATGAGCCGAGCCCTGGCATCCAGAATGCAAGCCCCTGGAACCTGTGACTGTCGTTGCGTAGCTGCCACAGGTGGAGCAAAAGAGGAGGGGCGGGTGATCCTCTCCCTCCTCCGAAGACTCCACAGGAAACTCTAACAAGCAGTGGCCCCCCGCCTTCCACGGCTGCGTGCCTTC